ACGAAGTTGACATTCTGCACCAATCTGAAAGATACTACCCGAGACTCACCAGGGAGGCCATCGAAATATTTAAACACCAAAACAATTTCAACAGAAAAGAAGAAATTACGGCACTCAATCCAGATTGGAAGCGCGTTTTGCGCCAAACAGCATAAATACGACTGGGAATCCAGCTGTTGAATCATTCTTAGTCGGAAAGCACGGGAGATCACTTCGCCCACTGCCTCATCGCCTTTGAAAATGTCCACCGCAGTTGTGGACGAAATGTCAGGAAGAAATTCCGATAGACCACGGCTTCAAAGCCCGGAAAACATTTATAAATGTAAAATGTTTTTAATTTTCGATTTGAAAGTTTATAACTAATATTTTATACAATTGCTGTTCTGAAAAAATAAGTGTAATTATTTAATTTTTTAGGGTGACGATTGTTCCAAATTAGTCCTTAGTAAGAATATTAAGAAATTGTTCATTAAAAATATTTATTGTTTCTCCGATTTTTATGTATTTTTGGTTCGTCAGGTTGTATAATTACCAGTACCATTAAACAGAAACAATCTATGAACGACTTTCTCGATGAACTCTTTCAACCTTTAAATAGGTTCAGAATGAGTTGTTTCTAATAGACTCGTGTTCTACAAACAGAACATATTCCATGATTTGAGATATGATATTCCATTATTTGAGGATGTCATTAATATTTTCCTTGTTGTAGATCTTATGACTTCAGACTAGCAAAGAAAGTGGCAAATTTATTATACATCCTTCAATGTATTCCTAAAATAACGGCGGACACTAAATTTTAAGAGAATTAAAACTTTCGTCTCGAGCATTATGTCGAAACTGTAATACACACTTTAGATGACTTTAATGTAACCTGATTAGCGATCACAATGTTCAAATCTGAATTTTCTAATTCGGCATTAGAAACTGCAAATGGTATGAGACATTCGACGGCATGAAATGTACAATTCAATTTAATTTATTGAAAACAACATACAGAAATATACATGTGACCGCATTATAAAGTGTTCCAAATGTTGTCGTTTTATTCATTCATTTCTTAGCCTACAATTCCAATATTTGTTTCAGGTTTAACTTTACGCTGCCTTGGGGTGCCAATTTTGCCGTATATGGAAGACGAAATGTTGCTCCCAGCATAACTCAATACGATTTTGTAGAGTTTGTGAAAGGTGGCAGAGTGGATCATCGGTTGCGAAAGAGAGATTTATCTGAAGAAGGTACGAATTAACATTAAACGAGATTTTTTCTATTTCCATTCCATTTTACTTGTCATAAGTTATGTAAGGCAACTAGGTGGTAATCGGAAGTTTCGCTAGTATTTATGCATAACATTTTGAAAGCAAATGAGAGCAATGGCCTAATTAAACTCTATTGATGACGAGATCCAGTTTATTAGGAAACACTTTAACAAAATTTGGCAAATATTCTTATCGTAAACATGTAATTCCGGTCATCATCTGGTCAATTAGGCTAAGTTTGTACCAAAGCTAATTTACAATGCTAAAATTTAACATATTTAACTAAACCCTATCAAATTGTTAGGTATATAAATTTTAAATATAACCGGTTAAAAATTCATATGTATGCCATGCATAATGCACTAATTCGCCAAATTCATGATATATTAATATTGTTATTATTATTAATGTGACTATGTATTTAAATTTAATTTCATAATTCGACAATTAGTTCGCATTGAAGCAATCAAAATATGGGCGATTTAGGAACAGCGCTTATGATCCTAATCTGAATTATTTAAAAGTTCCGTTATTATTTTAGTTTAATTAAAATCTATTATTCAAATATTTATTCGGTACATCAAATAGTTGGTTGAAAATCCTGGGTGATGGCGAACGATATTTGGTTTTAATTTGAATTTCAATTAGTTTCCCAAATTCAATTTTCACAGATGCATAGAACAAATAAAATATTACAGTAGAAATACATGTACATATACATGAAATGCTGTTTACATATAAATGTGTAATCAGTGCGAAATGAAACAACAATGTTCTATTACGAAATGAGAATGTTTGCTAGACCGTAAAGTAAAGTCTGAGTAGACATATAATAGGAATAGTTGTTGTCGGTATTAAAAAGGTCCGTATATTGGTAGCGCAGTTATTAATAAGCAAATAATTATTGGGTTGTAAATTGAAAATATATTATATATAACAGAACGTTCTGCAACTTATTGGAAACATTGGCAAATAGCAAAGCAGTTGCTTTTTGTCCAACTACTAACAACTATTCAGGTAACTTGTTGCAGTAAATTGTTTCCAGGAAAGCATTTTGCTTTAAATATTCCGATGTAACATTGATCCAAGTGGCCTTCTTAGAGCAACGAAAATATTGATTTTCTTTCAACTCTGGTTTTGTTCCGCCCAATCGGTTAAAATTATTTTACATGCTCCGCGACTCTAATTTGTGTATGACTACTCGTTGACACGAAAACCTATCATTAAGCAGAAAATTACACGAAATCAGGCATATCTCGTGTATATCGTTCGTTCGGGACAAAACTAATGAAATTTGCTTAACTGACAGCCGTTAGCAGATATGACGCTTACAACACAAGATTTCAAAGAAAATTTGCACGGAATTTCTTATCCATTGGAAAGTATCGAAGAAATCGTGTAGTGAAGCCAGAGCAACTGAGAACAGATGTTTTGTTTTAGCAATCTTCTAGTCCAAAAATATAATTCATTATTTAATTTCAATTTCGTTGATAAGGTTTACTCAAGAGAAGGTATTTTTTAACAAAAATAGATTACAATACATTGCTGAAGAAATAACTGTATTTTCAAAGCATTCAAAATAAATCGCCTACATATTGGCAGATGGTTTATTTGTTATGACTCCAACATGATCGTCAAATACGTTCATGTGTTTTTAAAAGAACTAAATACATGAAGTAAAATAGTAACCCTTTTCGCCGTCAAATTATTTAGATATATTTTGAACACATTCATCTGCATATATGGACATTTCGTGCAATTTTTGCGATCTCTAGCCAGACAATAAATTCTTTATTCTTTATTCATCAACCTTCGGAAAAGTGTCTTCTCATGTCCGACAAAACAAACACAAAATCGAATATTTTGCTGCCAACGAACTTCTTAATAAGTTCTCATAAAGGGAGTTCTGGTAGCGCAACAATTAATCGAAATATGTAGGCATAACTCACGGAAAATCATGAATTATTTCAAACTTCAAAAGATACGCACATACACTTGAACCCAAAATACCAGAAATCTAAGATCAGGTATCGATTACGTAATAATGAAGCATAATTCTAAAAGAAAAGGCCAAGACGTACAAAAGACGAGTATTACAAAGAGCCGCATACTAAGTATAAATTGTCTCCGTTATTAATATAAAATAAAAGAGGATCCGGTAACAAAGTAGGGGTGTATAAGTAAAATCTGACATGAGAGACACAGTGCTAACACAATATGGGTTAGCAGTAATATGAAAAAATAATCCACAATTAATCTAGAACAGATTCTGACATCCTAGAGAGACGACCTCGCAAATAAGACCACTCCACTAGAATTTACTCTTTTTTTATCCAGATGAGAGGCACGAGCATGTCTCTAAAGCCGGGTAATTTTTTTTAAACTCATCAAGTTTATTAATTCTGCAAGTGTGGCGAAACTACTATTTTTGATGGTCAACCAAATGATGAAACGAAAAAATGGAGAATATTTTAAAACGCCCAGTTGCAATTCACATTTCAGATAATCTTTTTGCCCCTTAACATGGCAGTTATTTTGCTTGGTTCCCAGCAAAATATATACACTTACCATAAAAGCTTTTACCTACTTCGAAGGATTTTCTTTTTAGGATTCGGTAGTGACGAGGCTTACGACCTGCGACCATTATCCGAATTCAAATTTTTCCACGAGAGCCGCAATTCCCACAAGAGCGACGTATTGGACAGCATTTCGGATTCTTACGAGGGTACACGAAAAATCCTTGCAGACTCAGAACCCAAGGGACCCTTCTACATTCCTACCAATAACAAAATCGACTACCACACGGATGTGAGTTCTTCCGCCGACCTCCCTCATCCTACTGTTAATATAGGTAACTGCTTTTATATTAAATCACCGTCAAAATCGATATACGTGCACGAGATTGAAAATCAGATAGATGGATTATGCATTACGTGGAGTCAAGCTCGTATTACTCGTGCTGGATATAAATGCAATGCAAAATCTAATTTTTAATCTGCTTCTAATCGGAATTTGGAAATGCCATCCATTATTGAACGTATCTCTTGAACGAGGGTGCTGATTTGCATTAGTGTAGAACTAAATCCAAATTTGAATAAGAGTAGTATTTGACTAGTTTCGTGCTTTCCAAAATGGTTGGGAAATGAAATGAAATGAAGAACGATGTCAGTCCAAAGAAAGTATTTCATTTCAAATTTGTTTAAATGATTGTTTTTAGCACATTACACGAGAACTGTTGAGAATTTGGTCAATAATTCAAAAATGTAGTAATATGTAGTGTGTTCTAACTATTTTTTTTAGATTCCTTGCCACCACACTTGTAAATGACTTCGGCATTCTGTCCAATCTAAAACTAAAATCTGAGTTTTTGCTTAATTCGTTTATTGCATTCGAATTCATGCCGGTCATTAGATGAGTATATGTACTTAATAACACTGTTAAGTGGTACATCACATTTACGGACGGAAAATCGTCTCATCTATTGAAAGAGCAACTGTTTCACAATCTGTTGTACACGTGGAGTATAGTGTTGATGAATGTGCAATTGAAAATTTGCCTATAATAAGTACTTCAACAGAAAGGAAAAAAGCTTACACATATTTTTAAATTTTCAATTTTGATTCAGCTGATGACAGTTCGCCAGAAAAAAAGTAGATAGCAACATCTTTAAAAGTGTCTACTATTTGAAAACTCATGCCATAAAAATTTTTTTTGGTGGGTATTTTACCTCAACATGTTGGTCGTTTAAAAATACAGAATTGTCTCACGTCTTTTATTACAGATTGATAAATAGTGCTATTATTTCATAACAAAAACCGAATTTCTTCGACACCTAGAGGTAATCTTTCGACACACGTGCTATAAGAAAAAAATTCCGATTAGTAGTGAAATTAATTTAGAAACGTTCCATTGACCTTTCGAAAGCAATTATGCTATCGTTCTTAAAAGATACCTAAAAGAGAGCATCTTAATAAATTGCTTAACAGGACTGATTTGACTGACAGGACTGAATACAAATGTGTAAAAAAGCAAAAAAGCGGGCTGAGTTTTCTTAAACATTTTAAACATGAGTAAGTTCAGTTTTGAAAATAGTTCTAATATTGAATTTATTACTTTTTCGCTTAATTTTGTCTGACATCCCCGGAATAAGTTGAACAAAAATGTCGGCAAAGAGTTTATGTTGATTTTGTTTTACATTTGGACCATAAATTTCATTAAAACATTGGGCAGCAAATAATTTTTGATGGTTATAAACATTCCAAACTTCTATTATGAATCCTTCTTTTAGAAAATTTGATTTACTACAAATTGTTTTTACTCTAATGATAGCTTAGATAGAAAATAGAAATATAGATATAGAAAATAGATAGAAAAGTTTATATGAATAAACTTTTCACAGCCTCTATTTTTACTTTTATTGGTTTATTTGCGTTAAAATTCGAATATTTACAATAATGAGTAAGTTTTCTATATACCAAATTATCTCTCTCAATTTATAATTTCTCTGCAGTTTTATTAATTAGGATATTAAGTACAACAATTTGGTTGTTTTGTTCATTTTCCATAGTGATCTTAATGTTCTGTTCTTTATTGTTCGGATATGATAAAAATTCGCCAAATTTTTTCGTCCCATGACTATGAATTGAAAATATATTCAGAATATCGAAACCACACTTTTGGATCAAATTTGAAATTTGTTTCAAAACTTTTCAAATATATTTTACTGAAAAATGGAGATACTGGTCAACATTGAAAATTCATGTTAGATCAGAACGAAGTGAGCCAGTTGGAATATTTGAAAAAGTGCTTATTCAAATAGTTTCTCTCAGTCTTAAGGATAGTTCAGACGAGCAGCACTGACAAGTTATTAAGGTCAACCGGAATTACACAAAATGTTACCATTGTTTCTCTGACCTTGTGTATGTTGTTGAATCTACACACTTTGTAAATAGCATTTTCGAAAAGAAATACATCACAAATCGTAAAAATTACTGCAAGTGCGTTTTCTCTGTTTCTAGATATTCTTAATGAAGAACGGCACATAATCAGCAAACGTGAGGCCGAGTTTACAGAATCGATGATGGTCAACGTTAGCTTACTACAATATCTGGACACCGGCCGTTGGTTCCTTTCTGTTTACAATGATGAGTTGCAACCATACAGTGTATCCTTAGTCATTTCGGAGGCGGATGGGGTGAGCACCACTTGTCCCAATGATTGTTCGGGACGCGGATCGTGCTACCTTGGAAAATGTGATTGCATCGATGGGTTTCAAGGCATCGACTGTTCCAAAAGTAAGTGCTAGATTACGTGTATTTGAATATAGTTTACTATTCACCACGTGTTGTTCACTCGGCTTTTGCCCTAAATGTAATTGTGTACTAAGTTATTACAAAATATTTAATTATAGTAATAATAAATGAAATCAAATATTTTATCGGTATTTTTATATACAGTCAATAATATGCAAGTAGACAACTATACATTGTATTCGTACTTGCTGCAAAGGTAGTTAACGACACTTTTAGGCATTTCTGCTACTTCATAACGCAAAATACGATATTAAAGAAACTTATTTATTTTTTACATGTCTGAGATATTTGAAACGATGGCGCATCATTTTCGTAATGTGGCATCGTGATGTTTTTATGTGGGAATTTTCTTTTTTTCTTGATATCTTCTTTCAGTTAATTTTTGAACATAATTTTCTTCTCTATGAACTTGTCTTATGTATAATATATTTTCTCGTAATACGTGAAAAAAACTTGCGAGAGGACACTGCTTACCGGTTACATATCTAGTGTTTCTAGGCGATTAATCGCTTCAGCGCTAAAAGTCCAAATAATAACATATAATAAAACAGAACAGTGTCCAAATATACAATGTAATTATTATTTCAATCGCTTCGGCACTAGGTCTCTTTAGTTGAGTCTAGTTGCTTCGTGATACCATCTAAGAGACTTGAATTGGGCAACTCTCTCAAGTAGTGCATATGATCGATCTACCTACGTTTTAGAATATTTGTCTAGCAAAATTTTTTTTGACAATTGCATTGGAGTAAGTGTTGAGAAATAGCTAAAGCAGATTATATCTGAGTCCTCATTGATAGCAAAGCAAAAAAGATCGATCTTAATCTTCTACTTTAACGAGCCTACTATAAATCTGAACTTGGGATGTTTGTTTCTGGTACAAGTTTACTGTAATATTGCAAGTTTAACTATTGACCTTCGAAGTTCTGAGTACGTTTAAAACCATTGGTTATTCAGCCATATCAAATTCTTGACATCATTGAAAAACAATTAAGGCAAAAAGTGTTTCACGCTACCAAGTGCATTCCAAAAACCAAACTTACCTATTGACTTCTTTGAATCGAGTGATGAGTTGCTTATTTTTTTTTTCTTTTATTCATCGCACTCTTGATCCGCCCTTTTATTATCTATAGGTACTATCAAAATAGAATTTAGAGTTAATCTTCGTAAATACAAGAGCCTTGTTCTCGAAAACACCGAAAAACCTTGAAACGTTTTCTCTTCCAGTTGCGTTCTTGATTTTGGCTAACTTTATGGCATACAAAGCTTAACCCTTTACATATTAGGGGCGATCGTTCTGACTTACACCCCCTTGCAATTTTGTTTCGAAAACTTATTGCGACAATGTTGAGTCACATTAATTTGCAAATTCCTTATATCCAACCAACTATTAACATTCGCCCTTAATATAAAAATGGATTCAACCGCAAATAAATAATTTCAGTTTGGAGAAGAAAATGATGTCATATATTGAGAAAATAATGATTTGCTTTAATAATGTTACAACTTCGTTTTAGAGGAAGTAAAATATTTAGTGGCTTCTATTCGTTGATACCAATTTTTCGGCATAATTTTCTGAAAACAAGTCTCTTGAAAATATTTCGCTGATGGTAACGCCCAATATTAACAACAGTTGCAATTATTTGCGAGATCAATAAACGCATTGCGAAACGACTTATCAGAACAAGCTTATCGTTAAAATATCAATATATATTTCCCATTGGCACAATCTGACATAGATTTAGTATTCTGATAATTAGTATTTTTTAATGTTTACGAGTCAGCTTTACACGACAGCATCGCTACATGAGAAATATTGATTCGCCGCCATCAAATGACCGCCATTACACCATTTTGTTTCACCCTTTTTAATAGTATAATAAACCGTCACAGTTTTTTATTACTAAAGATGAGTGCCACTCAGAAACGGTGACTCCCTTATTGGAAAGACATTAAGCTTTTATTCCTAAAAAAATTTAATGAGGCCATTTTCAAATCAAACGGAAACATCTGCTTTTAGGAAATCAAATTTTGTTATCTATTGAAAATGTCGAACCCAACTTAAACCAGAGTGGTAACAATTATAAATGTATAACTCTTATAACAAACGGCAATGCAAAGAATAACGAAATGAAATAGAACATTTTGATCATAAATTTATGGGCAGGGATTAAACTTGAACCTCTTATAACCGATGTTTGTTCGTTCTCAAAAAATTTTAATTAGTTTTGTTTCATAAAAAATCAAAAGTCGCCAAATATTTGTTCCAATCATCATAGCAAAATATAAACCTAGAAAAACCCAGCCAGATATTTTAAGTTAGGGGAAGTTATTAATTTATCCCTTACAAATTTAATATGTATATCTACTTGGGTCTGGTCTTACTCAACAATATCGCGCTCCAAATTCTACCGTATAATCCAATTAGGAAATGTTGAATTTCTGGCTCAAGTATTCGTTTTTCCGTCTGCTTAATTTGACGTGTTTAATGAACTTGCATTGTTTTCCTGGGAATTTGGGAATAATAGTAAATATAACTACGCGGGCGAATTGATGATCATTAATTCGGATTTAAGTCATGGAAAATATGCACTTAACAATATTATTTTAAACCCATATTTTCGTCTGGCATGCGAACCCAAC